AATCAAAAAGAAAAGTTGAAAAGTAAAGTTAAAAAGTAAAAAGTTAATTAAAAAATTAAAAAGTCAAGAAAAAAGGCAAAAATCAAAAAGAAAAGTTGAAAAGTAAAGTTAAAAAGTTAATAAACCTAGTTAATAATTATATTTAGGTTTATAAACTAAAAAATGTCAATTTCAGTATCATCATTAAAGGCTCTAAGGTTATGTTGGAACAATAAAATGTGTTTCTTTCACTCTCAGAGAGTTTTCATGAATTTCTTCTAGAAGCAATTTTGTTATTTTTCTTAATATATTTGTTTAAGTTGTTGTTTCTTGTTATTACATTGACATTGATTTTCTTCATCAAATGTCCATATTTTTTGAATGTTCCAAAGGTAATAAGATCTTTTCCTGGATTCCAGTAACAATATTGGCTTTAAATTTGGATTTTTAAATGATTTCACTGAGTGCCCTATAAAGGGTTAAGGTTGGTTTTTCTTTCTTAACATAGATGGTTTCCTTCACTTCCTCTCAAACCAGCTTATTTATCCTAAATGTGAACATTCTGGTCGGATTCAGGTTTTCTTGGCTCAAAAAATTAACTTTATGACCAAAACTGGGATTACAGGGAAGGTGAAAAGCTCAAAACTTTCTTTAAATTGAATTATTTTAGTTTATCTGAGGATGAAATAGTTGTTGGAAATGTCTGAATGCAGATAGTCGTGTTTTCAACCTAAAATCTGTAACATTTTTTAGGTCAAACTGCTGATTTCAGAGTAAAATGATTTCAGGCAGAGAAGCGAAGGAACATTTTCTTCTAGAAGTTTTAATCTGCTGGTCTCTTTACTTCTGATTGGAGCAACTGGAGTTCAGGTTCTGGATCCTTCACAAACATCTGTTACCAAAACTGGAAACTGAACCCCAAGAACAGGACATTTCAGGTGTTCTGAGCATAAAGCTGCTCTGGGAATAAAGATGGAGGTTTCCCATAAAGCTGATGATGATGGATAAACCGGTTTATACTGGAATCTCTTCAGACGTATTCGTCAAACGCTTCGGTCGAGTTCCTTCACAGTAAAATGACCTACAGAGTTGAAAATAACTGCTTTTCAGATAACATTTGGTCCCGCTGCAAAGGAGCGTAGAATTTACTCTATAGCTGGTGTCACATTTTCAGAGTTAATTTTACTCATGTTAGTGTCAAAATTAAAAATAGACTGGCGATTAAAAGACACCATGTAGATTAAAAGTTACTCCACTTGAGCAGATTTACACTCAGTATGGTTGTAAATACTAGAGTTAAATTGGTTAAGCTTGAATTTTTTTCTCAACCAAAACCTTTTCCTTAAATCTGGAGATTTTTTTTCAGACCTGAAAATAAACATAGATTTTCCAAAAATTAAAAAATTCTATTTACAAAATGAATCACTTTAAGTTTAATCTTGAGATGAATTAAAACGACCTCTTTGCTTCCATCAGGAAACTTCGGCTAAAGAGGGAAACTGAAGAGGCGTCGTCTTCCCCAGGCAGAGCATTGGTGAGATGAGAATGGGTGGCTTCATCCGGAGCTGCACTGCCCAGAACACCCACTAGGGGGCAGAGGAGAGGACATCAGGATGGTTGGATCAGTATGGAGTCAATTTTGTTCCATTATTATTGAAGAGAAAGAACACGCTTTGTTAAAAAAAAAAAAGTAAGTATCCAGAATTTAAACTTTGAAAAAATCATCATCAAAAAAATGCAAAGGTTTTGAGAGTAAATTTACTGTTTTGTCCAATTTTATTTCTTCAGTGTTTTTCAGATTTGGGGCTTTTTCTTCATATCATTTTTATTTTGTTATACAGATTTCATATTTAAAAAATTTATTCTTTAAAATTTCCCCTCTTCAGGTTGAGGTTTATTAATTATGACGGAGTACTAGGGCCAGGATAGAGATTTTTTTTTTCTTCTATTTTGAGAATAAAGTCGTAATATTACGAGAATAAAGTCATAACATTACATGAATAAGTCGTAACATTACGATAATAAAGTCGTAAATTACGATAATAAAATCGTAAATTAGGAGAATAAAGTCGTAACATTATGAGAATAAAGTCGTAACATTATGAGAATAAAGTCGTAACATTGTGAGAATAAAGTCGTAACATTGCGAGAATCAAGTCGTAACATTACGAGAATAAAGTCGTAACATTACGAGAATAAAGTCGTAACATTACGAGAATAAAGTCGTAACATTACGAGAATAAAGTCGTAAATTACGATAATAAAATTGTAAATTAGGAGAATAAAGTCGTAACATTACGATAATAAAATCGTAAATTAGGAGAATAAAGTCATAACATTGCGAGAATCAAGTCGTAACATTGCGAGAATCAAGTCGTAACATTACGAGAATCAAGTCGTAACATTATGAGAATAAAGTCGTACATTACGATAATAAAATAGTAAATTAGGAGAATAAAGTAGTAACATTACGAGAATAAAATCGTAACAATATGAGAATAAAGCCGTAACATTATGAGAATAAAGTCGTAACATTACGATAATAAAGTCGTAACATTACGAGAATAAAATCGTAACATTACGACAATAAAGTCGTAAATTACGATAATAAAATTGTAAATTAGGAGAATAAAGCCGTAACATCATGAGAATAAAGTCGTAACAATATGAGAATAAAGCCGTAACATTATGAGAATAAAGCCGTAACATTACGATAATAAAGTCGTAAATTACGATAATAAAATCGTAAATTAGGAGAATAAAGTCATAACGTCACGAGAATAAAGTTGTAACATTATGAGAATAAAACGTAATTTAAATTAAATTAAACTTCATTCCCGTTGCGACTTTATTCTTGAAATAGAAGGAAAAAAATTTCGAGCCTGGCCCTAACGCTCTGTCGTAATTATTTGCATGCTTTTCAAATGACATTTTACAGATCACATTGTCTTCCCCTCTGAGGGCGGGCCTTCCTCTGGCGTCAGGAGAGAAGAAGCATTTCTATTGGTCTGCTGGATGTTATGAAACAACATTTTTATTGGATTAGACTTGAAGAGAAGAGAATGTGATCCGTGAAACACAATTTAAGAAGAAAATAATTCATTTAAAATGTCTTAAAAAGAGAAATTTGAAAAAATAAAGCTTGAAAACAAAAAGTCTATAAAAAATGCTGATGAATTAAGGAAATTAATTATATTAAAATAAATTGTTTGGTAAACATTTAAAGAAAACAAAGTAAAGCAAAGTTACTCTGAAAACCTTTTTTTATATAAAGAGTTTTTCAAAGTGTGATTTCTAGGTTGCATTTTTTTTTCTATTTACATCATACTCTCTTTTGCTTTCAACAATAATGGACCAAACTTCCCTCCATATTTCAGGCCGTAGAAGAGAATCCGTCAGTCTGACGTCAGCTCCCTCTGAAGCCCACCCCTCCCACCATTGGCCTGCCTTCAGAAGCATCTGAACCAAGTCCTCGTTCCTTCAGGAGCCGAACCGTTTCTGTCA